TTCCTGACTGAATCCAGCACAGAAGCCCACAGTCTCCCCAAAAGGTAATGGAAGAGACAGTTATGTCCTTTTATGGTCTTTGCTGGTGCTCCGAAATCTAAACTCAATAACAGCAAACATACAAAACACAATTCAAAATGCACTTCCACATAGGATTGGTATCAGAGGTCACAGGAGAGAGGCATCAATCATGCTGTTTTGCTTACCTAGAAAAGCAGTGAACGAGCTATGTGAAATAAGCATCAGAACCAGAGACAGGACTAAACTTTAAGAATGAATAATGGCTTCTGAGGCAATACTCAAGGGTCCTCTTGTCTGAACACACCTGTGCTCCACTGACAGAAAAGTGTCCTCACCTAAAGTCATAGAAGTCTGCAAATTCCAGGGCAGCATCTCCATCTGTGAAGAGTTTGCAGTGGCTTTTATCATTCATGTGAGCCTGCACCGCTTCTGTAGAGTAGAAGGATTTCCCTTTTTCATTGCACCAGATGCAGATTTTCCCAACGCCAACTTTCTCTCCTGCAGAAAACATTGACACTTCTATCAGTCTGAATAAAGCCTCCCTAATCAATAATTAACATCATTAATGATGTCAGCTTCCCAGCTTGCAGGCAGAGACACTGAAGAAGAGCCTCCAGCCCTTCATTCCCAGAAAAGCCCTGCTGTCCTATGCCTTGACCATATGGCTCCAGCAGGGACAAGCCTGTGCACTTAAAGATTACATAATGATCCATACCTTGTCATATGAATTCTCAAGAACATATTTCATACTTCCAAAACAGTTTTCTATCTAATAATCCAAGATTATTTTATTCTCATTGTTATTTGTAGGCCTCAAGGGAGATACATTTTCCCAGCTTTTACCTCTCTCACCAGTATTGTAAAGGAGGCAAACACTTGCGATTCATCAGTAGGATCACACAGCTCATATGCACACTTCAGCAGCTGAGCTTCGTCCCAAATTTCACATTAGCTGAACGATTTTGTTGGAATTAGAGAACTATGGAAGACCTGCTGGGGGACTTCTCACAACGGCCTGCAGTGACAGGATACAGGGTAACGGGTTTAAATTGAAATTGGAGAGATTTAGATTGGCTATCAGGAAGAAGTTCTTCATGGAGAGGGTGGTGAGGCACTGGAACAGGTTGCCCAGAGAAGCTGTGGATGCCCCATCCCTGGAATTGTTCAAGGCCAGGCTGGATGAGGCTTTGAGCAACCTGGTCTAGTGCAAGGTGTCCCTGCCCATGGCAGGGGGGTTGCAACTAGATGATCTTTAAGGTCCCTTCCAACCCAAACCATTCTGTGATTGTATGACCTGCAGGATACATGACCATGTGTTTGCTCCGTGGGGTTTTCTCTCGCTCTCCCCATAAAGCCTGCAGTCCTCTTCAAAATCAGAATACTGAACTCAGATTTTACACAAAAAAAACCCCAACCAAACCGATTTAAGTCATATCCAAATGAAATTAAGTAATAACAGTATATCATTATCCTGATCAAAATAAGAGAACATTTACAGGCATACCCAGGTACTTGATTAGTCCTCTGAGATCCACAAGGTACTCTATGTCTGGAATGAAGAAACTGTGAGCTTTTGTCATATGGGCCACATTTTTTGTGAGAGATCTTGAATGGTGAGGACAGAACAAGCAATCCGTGACTGGTATGGCCCCAACTGCAGGAGTGCTTTCAGCTTCCACCGCCTCCTCCTCCTCTTCTCCCACGCTTTCCATCTCTTCTTCAGAGCCGGTATCTTCATCGGAATCCATATCTTCCCAGTCTTTTACAGGAAATCAAAAAAAAAAGAAAAAATTTATATGACTACTTCTCCCAAGCAAAACAAGTCCCAGTTCAGTTAGAAAATCTCATCACAGAAAATAGTGCATTTTCTATTCTTAGAGGTAGGCGCCACAGAGTAACTTCCAGGTGCAAGAACAGACTGTTGCCAGCGAGGCAGGTTTCTCTGTGACACGCAGAGCAAAGCTCAGGTAGGCTCATAAAAAGTTGGCAGACCCGATACTTTTTTCTCCCTCCATTTTCTCAACTATTAACACTTCACTGCTGTTTTGAAGCTTTAAATTTAATTCATTCCGGCACAAGAACACATGGATGACTCATTAAAAACAATACATGAAATGTATTGAAATGAATGAAATGAAATGATGAAAGAATGATGAAAACACTGATTTTCAGCAGTGACTCGGCAGGAAGGGAAAACATGCTCCTGTTCACACACACACACACCTTCACCAGCAGAGAAGCACAAAGCCAGCTGTCGCAGACACACGGCCTTACACATACGCACCGAGGTATACTAACCACTTTACACGTTTGCAAGATCACCGCAGAGCTCGTCTGCGGATGGACCAACCAGCAATCTGACTATACTGATGGAGGGGTCTAGAAACCTTGCCCGAGGAGTTCGGATCTGAGGCGGTGAGCATTTCCCAGCACTCTGTTCCTACTGGCCCCCTTCCAACTGCCACACTCACCGAGTGTTTGGGAAGAGGGAACACAGTGCTCCCCAGGGTCATAGGTTGCTAATTAGAGATCTTTGCTATAGGATACGGCTTAGTAACTTCAAAAGCCTGACACTGAATTAACAGTTCAGTCACTAGCATGGAGCCCTTGACTGCAAGCATGGGCCAACCTTAACTCCTTTAAGCTGAGAACGTAATCAACAGGAAGGTGCTGTAGTACCACAGACCTAGAAGGAAGCTTTTACACAAAACCAACAACTATGCACCTTACCCAAAGTTATGTCTTGTCAGTATGTTTATTGCCTTACCGTCTTCCATATCCTCCTCTTCCTCTGCTTGTTGTTTGGCCAGCTTCTTCGCTTGCTGTTCAAACCACTGTAGCCGTGGAGGTTTTTCGGATCGTTCTCTACTCTGTGATAAGCTGGCACTTCCCGTAGAAACTGAAGAGCTACTCGGATTACTAGGAGGCAAAGGTATCTTCTTCGGAGAGGAAGACGGCTGAGCTCTGATGGCCTGCTGAATAGCTGTGTTCATATCATCCTTGTTTACGCTCTCCGGGGCCAGCCCCTTTTCCAGGTTCTTTTCATTTAATATTTTCACCTTCGTGCTGACAGCCTGAACAGCTTTCTTCTCCAGCTCCAGGTGCTTCTTGGACTTCAAGTGATTCTCGTAGGCATTGAAGGTGGAGAACCTCTTGCTGCAAACCGTGCAGTAAGTGGCAGTGATTTTGTTCTGCTCCTCCGCTACCACTCTCTGCGCTAGGACTCTCTCTTGGAAATTCTCCGCAGTGACGGGAGGCATCTCGGCAACCTTGCGCTTCAGGTTGTACCTGTGCCAGTCCGTTTTGTAATGGGCACGCTGAACGTCAGCATCCTTGAAAGCCACCCGGCAAGTGATACAAGTGTAGCTTGCCATTGCTAGAAAGCGGGAACAAAATAATCGTCATGCTAATGAAAATAAGCAACCCCCATGAAAAACCTCAAACACAACATCCTGACAGCACCCCTGAGACATGCAGTTCTCACACAGAATTAAATTTAATAAACGCCAGCATTAAGCATTAGCAAACAGCATGTTACATACCAAAAGGAGTAAAAGAGGGGGGAAAAAAAATAAAAAAAAAAAGGACTTTGATACCATTATCAGAGGTTACTCGTACCACAGTGGCATCTGAGCATCCCAGTTCTGGACCCAGCACTTCCTGCGTCCACTGGGACTCAGACACCAAATGAGAGGGTTCCCAGCCCGAGCAGCAGTGCTTCCAAAGCTCTGCACTTGTTACTGAAGATCAGAAACTAAGGGTTCTTGTCAAGCTCGTGTTCGGCCAACTATAGGAAGGGGATAGTGATTGCTCCAAAATAAGGGTCAAAAGGGAAAACCTGCTTTCACGCCTGTTTTACATTTTCCACAGTCTTATAAAATGGGAAAAAACCCAGTCACTCCACTTAAAAATACAACCCCCCCCAGCTATTTTAGAGCAGCACACGTACTGTGGACAACGCTTGACTCAGCAGAGCTGTTAACCTGGAGATGCAGTCAGTCACGCCTCGATCTAGTGCTTGAAGTCACTGCTACCCCTGGTCTTTCTCCACGTCCCACCAGCCAGCTGATCCACGTTACTGGGGCTGTCACAGGACAACCAGAGAGCAGTGACCTGTAACTGACGCTGTCCTTCCCAAAGCCACGCATTTCCTTCCTTCTCAGTGCTTACTAAAGCTTTTTCTAAACACAGTTGATGGAGTCTCTTGAACACTTCAAAAGCAAAGAGCAAAAAAGCGTGTTCTAAGTGGAGATTACTAAAGCCACCCCCATCTTTTAACCGACTTACAAAACCTATGGTTTAATTTGGAAAAAAATAAAGAGAGAATACGTGAGGAGGAGGAGGGGGTCTGAAAGCAGGCAGAGGAAGAGCAGCCCCTCCCAGAAGCTACCAACAGGGAGAAGCAACGGTGAAAGACATGAGCACGTGAGAGCTGAAAGGTAGTTGATGAAATGCTCGTTCCCTAGAAGAACTGGACTCTTAAATTCCTGCCTGTGCTATCTGCAATCCTACAGTGACTGAAAGTACACTAACAGAAAATAAAGGCCATACTGCTTTATTTGAAATACCAAAAGCATCCACTCAGTGTTAACAGATGCTTTTCGTTTCAGAAGAAAATGTATTCTCTGCCCATCACGGGATGCTGATTGCTTTCCGAAGCATCTCCCCGCATCCCTCTCCTTGCCCAAGCAGGTATTTTACTGCCATAAACCACCTGACTCAGAATGACGTTTGCTGTTAATCACAAACTCCTTGCAGAAACCTCAAGGACAGACCAGCTTGACCCAGCCTATTACAGGCAGACAGTAGCTACACACTCGATCACCCTGGGGGTGACTAAAAATATCCAAAAACCAGGTCAGAAGAGGGATGTAACCGAGAGGATCTAAAACCATAAGCCTTCACATCGGGCTACTAAGTGGAGAAATAAGGTTTGCAGTTCAAGTTGCATAAAAAAGAGCTCCTGCAGGATCCCGGCATTTCCCATTACCCGCGTGCATTCCCACCTACCGTTTCAACCCACACCACCAAATTGCAGAACCTTCCGGCGCGTGGGGCTCAGAAAAACAAAACTTGAAGCATTCTCAAGCCCAAGGAACTGTCAAGGCCTTCCAGACAAATCTGGCTCTCCCCACAGGATCTTTACTACGGCTGATTTTAACTCCTTTTATGTGAATTTAAATTGAGCAGGCGTCCAGAAGATGGACGCAAGTCTGGAAGACCTGACTGACAGGCGGGTGTTTATTATACGGACGTCAGGAGTGACAGCACAACTTAGAGTCGGGGAAAAAAAGAAAGGGAACATGAAAGTAAAACAAAGACCAGAAGGAGCGCAGGCGGAA